TGTAGCTTGTCAACAGGAGAGTGAGGTAGAGAGAGGAAGTTCCCAGAATCCTCTAAAAATGCCTTGCCCACAAAGCTTCATCAGACTGTGACCTGAATAACAGGCTAGACTTCACCCTTTCACCCTTAATATACTCAAGTTAACACGAGATTATGTAACTACCATAAACCAGAATATAAAATTGCAAACTAATATTCTTATTGTGGTGAAATCTCTGCCTGGTTCTAGTATCTTGGTTACTCTCACTTCATAAAATATGTTTGGGAATTTGACATCCTTTTCTATATTTTAGAGTACTTTGTTCAGGATTTGACTCAACTCTTCTTTGAATGCTTCATAGAATGTCACAGTTTAGCTATTTTGTCTCCATTGTACTTTACATTGACCATGTGATATTAAGCAAATACTTTATTTTTATGTCTCAGTTTCAGAAAATGAAAATGATCATTACACTTGCCTCATAATGTTATAAGCATGAAATTGATTCATATTGTATGTGACATCTGGCAGATAGTAAGTTCTCAATTAGTAGTAAATACTGCTACTCTATGATCACTGTCATAGTGACTGTATTCCCATGCATGAAATAATAAGTTTTTTAAGTTGTCAGATCAATTAAACATTCTCTCCAGGACTCAAAATCTTCATTTAAATGTCAGGAAAACACGGATCAGATCATTTGCCTGATTGCGTCAGCCCAAATGGTTATGCATTGGTTACAGGCAAGACTGGCAAATTTCAAATAATCTATAAGTAAATCTCTAACAGACAGGAAAATTGCTGCTATTTCAATATTCAAGCACCAAATGTACATAGCTTTAGGGAAAGGCACCATAATTTCATGTAGCAGCCCCAAGTCAAAGCATTTCAAGGAGCATTGTTGTTGCTTATCTTATGCTGAAACTCTGGTCTTTAACCCTTTGGGGTCACTAGTTGGTTCATTTACTTGATTATTGGCATACTTCAAAACTTAGAATTTATAAACGTACCAATTAGGAATCACTGTAGCTACATGTGCCTGTCTGAAACCCACAGACAGCGATTTAAAGGAGTAAGGGGATTATTTTCTTAAGTAAAGAAAGGGTTGGGGATGATCCAGCCAAGCCAGGCATATAGGCTCAATGATAGCACTCCTCTTCTGAGGCTTTATTCTTTTTCTGCTCTGTCTCACTTAGCAAGCAGCTTTCATCCTTCTAATTGCAAGATACATCTATATTTCCACAGATTGAACATGTATAATGGGCAGCAAGAAAAGCAGGTGAAATGGGTGAAATCTGTAACTCTTCTACGTCTTTTCATGAAGAGAAGACTATCTTTTCTGGATGCTCCACAGCACTGGTCTCCACATACCTTCCATCGGCTAGCTTGGTTGCATGGTCAAACTCTGGAAGTGTGTAGAGAATGTTTTTACAGCATCATATGAGCAAATCCGAGTTCAATTAGTTACACAGACAGGAAATGGGATATGGGTTAGACACTAACAGTATCTACCTTAGAAGAGGAAGTTCAATTCTGTTTTGCTACAACATCATGTTAATGTGGTTATGTGTACAAGCTCACTGAGGCACATCAGAAGATACCTTCTCTAGTTTGCCATGGAGTTGATTCTGACTCATAGACCCATAGGATTTCAGGGCTGTGATCTTTAAAGAAGCATGCTGCCATATCTTTTTGTCCCAGAGCATCTATCATCCTGGAGGATAAATAACATTTTAGCTGAGCAAAGGATTTAGGATAACATTTTTTTTGTACCACCAAGAATCCTTCTACCTTCTCTACAAGACTTATGACATGATCTTCTACAGTGTTGTCCCTGCTTCCAGCCTCGTCGTCTACACTGTCAGATGACAGAGATTGGCCAACACATAGAACATGGTCTAGGCTGTGTGGGCTCAACAGTCCTCACCGTAAGCCCTGAAGTACACAGAGAGTATGCAAATGAGTAGGCATGGCCACATGCAGTCATAACAATGAGTTCATGAAAACACACAGAATATAATTTCCAATATTCAGCTTAGAGCATCCCATAAAAGTGCTCCACAATATCTCATTTAAATCCCCAAGTGTATCGATTTAAAAACTTTCTCTATTCTGCCTTCGTCAGCTGCTACTTCAGATATACACTGACTCAAGTTCTCAATTATCAGCTAGCTTATATTTTGTCATTCATCCTTTATCTGTATAGCACCCTCTGTAAATGCCACAATGCCCAATGAGATTTACCTGTGCGTGTCATATCCACAGAAGCACACCACCCGCCCCCCGCTCACACACATACCTGGGAAACTCTGGGTATGACTGATCACTTGTTTGCACTCTATGTTTTTCTCTACTTTGTTTTGTTTTTCCCCTGACCTGTAGACCTCTGTTCTGATTTACTTACTATTTATTTCAACCTTTTACAAACTTTTTTCTAGATAAGGTGAGAAAATAATATATTATTTTGATCTTTCACCAAATATATCTAATTCTGACAGATGATTCTGCAGCTTGGCAAAGGGCTTGGAGTCATAGTTCTATTCTTTTTCCTTATACTGTAGGAATAGTTTTCAAACAGGTTCTTATATTTCAGGATATATATATATATATATGTGTGTGTGTGTGTGTGTGTGTGTGTGTGTGTGTGTGTATACATATTTTAGTAACTTTATAACATATTTTATGTATCCTTAGGTTTTAGTATTTTCCAGGGTTACCCAAAGATTATTTCTTATCCCACTAAACTTGACACTTAGTAAATGTATAAAAACTGACATTTCTATGTTTTCTTTGTCTTAAAAAACAAAAAACAACAACTATTAATTTGTGTTTTCTCCATCAGTTTTTTCATGTTATTAATTACTTAGATATGCTCATTATATTCTCTCAGTCTCTCATTTATCTCCCACTCCCCTGCACTTTTGATTTTTTTTAAATGTTTTTATTTCTATATTTTAGGTAGCTTTTCCATTCTAATATTTGTGTCAATTTTTCTCCAGATTCACAATTTGGATCTAATCAGTGAACATCCAGGCTTTCAATGGATGTATTGAGTTTTTATTATTTACTTATTTGTTAAAAACAGTTTGAGATTACAGAAAATCTCAGTGAGATTCTTAAAATTCCCTGAGGCCTCCTATTTTGGACTTTTCAGTAGGCTGCCTTTCTCACTAATGGCTGGTTTTTCTGATTTCCTCTACCTGGTACTGTGCCACCTGTGGCTACCAAGTGCTTTCTTTTATGACTCTGGGGATCTAATCAGCTTCAGTGGGAGACCTGGTGAAGCAGTGGTCTACACATTGTGATGCTGTCAGAAGTTCAAAACCATCAATCACTCCACTAGAGAAAGAATAATAATTTGTAAATTATTAAAGGTTCATGAGGGAGGGGGCAGCAGGGAGGGAGGGGAAATGAGGAGCTGATGCCATGGGCTTGGGTGGAGAGCAGATGTTTTGAGAATGATGAGAGCAATGAATGTACAAATGTGCTTTACACAATTGATGTATGTATGGATTATGATAAGAGTTGTATGAACCCCTAACAAAATTATTAAAAAAATAAAAAGAAAGAAGAATCCTTCTACTCCAGTAAAGATGTCCGTTCTTGGAACTCCATGGAGGTACTTCTATAGGGTCCTTATGAGCTGCGTTTGACTTGATGGTAGTGAGTTTCTCAGTTCCCAGAAGTGGATAAATGGTGGTAGTTTCACAAGAAACAAGAGTCATGAAGGCCATTGTCTTTGTAAACCAGGACAGTGTTGGGTTGCCATTTCCATGACCAGACATTAGGAGAAAGGCTGTTGTAAGTTGTCACATCTATCTTCTCTCAGACTGGAGTTAAGGGTGCTGGGGCCAACTGTTTCCCTCTCTCTTAGAAACCCGTGACTCTAGAATGCTTATGGCCCTCTCCCTGGCTCAACTAGCTTAGCTCTGGTTCCACATAAAGCCAGGTTGGCATCCATTTTTTTCTATGGAGCAGCTGTCCAATAAAGAGCTTTCAAATTCTCTTTCTAACCTACCCTCTCAACAGATGCAGGCCATTTGCTTAGCTCAAGAGTAGTACAATATGCTGGAAATGGGAAGGAAAGAAATCACTCTCCTCCCTAGGCATAGGGCTGTGTATATGAAAACACTCAGTGAGATTTCACTAGTGACTATAACAACCTTAATTTTCACTAGTTCTGAGATCGCACAGTAAGAAGTTCCTGAGGAAAGTGAATGGCCAATGGGCTCAGTGGCTAACCAAAACGTTGAAGGTGCAAACCCACCTAGAGATTCCTTGGGGAAAAGAACAACAGCCTAGACATTTACTTCAGAAAAAAAGAGCGACTGAAAAACATGGTGAAAGCACAGTACAGTACTACCCTGACACACACGGGGTCGGCACGAGAACAACAGAGGAAGGCATTCATTCAACTGTTAGATTTGTTTGGTTTTGTTTGTCTGTTTATGTTATAAGCAGGAAAATAAAATATGCAAAATATTAACTTGAAAATATGTCTTTTCTTCTAAATTTCAATTTAGAGTCCCACCAAGACAGTCAATAAATCAATACCCAAGCTGGGCTTTCTTTTAATATACTTGAAAAATTCATCCTATAGGATAAATGTAAAATCACAGGGAGTTCCCAGAAATCTAAGCGGTGAAATACCTCAAATCATCAGCGTGACTAGAGGCATTGATGTCAACCAGGAGTCATGTTTTCTTCGACTGCATGCCAGACAAACAACACTAGTGGCACAGCAGTTAAGTATGGCCACAGAACTCTGACAATCGAGTGTTAGAGGGCTTTTGAAAATTATTAAATTTTAGACCAAATGGATGCCTACACTTCAATTGTCTTATATAAGTTTCACTAAGTAAGAGAACAGCGATACCAAATATTCATTAACAGCTTTAAGCTACAGAAAAATAAAAGTAAACATCTTTTGCTTTCTCAAAAATAATAATTAAGGACTGGTTTTCAAATGATGTTTTTTTTACCACTGTACTGATTGTTCAGGTAAAAATGATTTTTCTTACCCATATCTGACATTTCAGGCACGGTAACGATGTACGGCCCATCGGTGAATTTGGGGGCGTTGTCGTTGATGTCTTGCACTTTGATGATGAACTCAGACTCGGGCTCCAGTGGCTTGTTTGTCCGTCTGTCAATTGCCTGGGCATGGAGAACATAGTGGGTCTTCTGCTCCCTGTCTAGGCTTTTGGTTGAATGGATGTCACCTGTGGTATCATCAATGATAAATATAGTCCCAGCACCTTCTCCAGTTAGGATGTACTTGACTGATCCATCACCTTTGTCAGAATTGGAGTGCAGCTGTGAAACACAAATGGAATGATTTAGTATGCAATTATGCCCCAGCCTCGCATTGAGTTGTCTGAAAATTCCATCTCTATAATTTAATAGCAAGTTGGTTATGAGCTTTTTTCTCTCCGTGATACCATGCATCTTACTACAATAATTCATTTCCTCTAGAATTTCTACATTGGTATTACTTTGGATGCTTTCGTGTTGTGATTTGTTTAAGAGACTTAAATATTGTCTTGAAACAAATCAATAATACAATATCAATTGAAAGGAAAGCAATATGCCCGGCCTTCATTCTATTAAAACAACATTTCACTGATTTTTTTTTTTTAACATTTCACTGATTGCAATCATTTTGGGAACATAAACCACATGTAGGTTACCATTTTCTTCTGAACTTAGGAAATAAACTTAATTTTACAAAAATATTATTACATTATTTTCCATTTAAAATTAGGGGGGGAAAGGTAGAAATTTTAGATTCAATCTAGTATTATAATAGGTATAAAATAGTTATACACCATTTTACAGGTGATAAGTTTAAAATTTTAAAAATAGAATATTTTCAAGAGGTAAGTGTTTGCACTCAGAAAAGAGAATAGTGGCAGACGATTTCTTCCTTTCTTTTTTTTAAGAATTATAAAAGTTTAACTCAAATTTCAAATACTGTCATCAGTCTATTATGACTTGTGGTAACACTATAGGACAGCATAGAACAGACCATTATGGGTTCCCAAGTCTAAAATCTTAATGCAAGTCAGTAGCCAACATCACTTTCCCATGGAGAGATTAGTGGGTTCAGACCACTAACCATTTATTTGGTTATAAGCTAAACCCTTCAGCCACTCTGACTGATACCAGGACCTTGAATATTTTAAATAGAAGCAATAAAGATAATCAATAACAAAAATAAATAAATAAATAAATAAACAACTACCACTTAGTTGATTCTAACTTAAAGCAACCCTGTAGGGCAGGATAGAACTGCCCTTAGGGTTTCTGAAGTTATAAATCTTTATGGGAGCAGAAAGTCTCATATTTCTCCCTTGGAGTGACTGGTGAATTGGAACTACTAATCTTGAGGTTATCAGCCCAATGTGTAACATGGGTTTTAACATTCAATTAATTGAGACATACATTCTTAATTACTAAATTTCTGTTGCCAAAGTATGATTTGAATTGATTTTACAAAATGAGAAATTCAGAGATCTTCAAATAGAAATATCACTAATATAATAATTTTTAAAATATTTTTGAGATTTTCAATATCAACACATGATTTTAAATTGCATAATATTATAACTTTATGACAACAAATTTTATTTAAATACTTCATAGCATATTTATTCTAGCTAGGTATTTTTTAAGTCTGTATACAATGGTATTTTTTGAAATCACAAATACATATTTGAAGAATTGTTTTTCCCAAGAGATCTGAGCAGTTATCCTTCATATGAAATCTTTTTGTTCACCTAATCTCAACTACAAACCTTTTGGCCTTTTATGACACTTGAAAATATTGAGAAAACATAACCTTGTTCACAGTGCAATCTAGTTTTCTTGCTATAGTAAAGTGAAAACTTTCAAGTTTTATTTTGAAGTCTCTGAAGTCTTCGAAGACTTTAGAAAAAAAAAGCTAAAACAAAGAAAACTATAATACAGTATAAAAAGGACTATAAAATACACACAGATAAGTTAAACCCAAATGCAGCAGATATAATTTTAATTCTCACTGAAAATATACATAAGACCTAACAGTAAAAACAAACAAACAAACATAGATCCAGGAATGGGTTTGGGGTTCACAGGAAATCCTACTTCCAACTAAAGAACAATTAGTTCTTATATCGTGGCCCTGCTGGATACTAGCCCTGAGGAAGGGAACATAGGAGAAATGGGTGCTATAACAAAATGTGATGAAAAAATTAGATGCTGCCTAGCTGTCAGATGCTGCCTAGTAGATAAAATAGCATCTGGAGCCTTCTAGCCTTATTTTCAAACAAACAGCCATCTAAGTGAGATGTCTATTAAGTCCACATTGAAGAAGCACACCAACATCAGTGACTGAAGGATTGTAAATCATATAATTTGAAGTCGAAGGAGGGAATAGTATCAGTGCTTAAATTGTGAGAATCTGGTTTGCAGAAGGTGATGGATGACAATGGAGACCAAGCTACAATTGTGGGATCTACATTAGAAAGAACAAAAGTTTCTGTATTTTTTGTTTGTTCATTTGGGGTATATTTTAGATGTATGTCATTCAAGATCACCTTCTTAAATTTTTGTTATATGTTTTTCTGTTTTGTGGTAGATGAAATCCAGGGTTGATGAACCTATAGGGACAGCAAGTAGAATACATTTGGGGGGTTTTTGGAGGGGGCGGCAGGTACAGTGTACCGTGGTGGTGGTGCTGGTGGATAAACAAGATATGATGTTAATGAGTTCAGAAAGGAGAAGAGGTTTTGAAACAGATTGTGGTAGCAATTATACAATACTGCTTGATGTGATTGAACTATGAAATGATATGATTTCTATATTAACTCCCAATAAAATGGTTTTGAAAAAAAAAGTATGTGAATTACTTAGCAAACATATATTATGGTCCATATGTATTTACTTGGAGAGTTTATAAAAAGTGGTAAAACATATTATCAAAATAAGTTTCTGGAATTCATACTCTATTAGTAATTTACTAATAAATTACTAAAAGGAATGCAAGGAGAATTAGTAATTTACTAATAAATTACTAAAAGGAATGCAAGGGGAATTAGTAATTTACTAATAAATTACTAAAAGAGGAATGCAAGGGGAATTAGGGTTAGCGTATTCATTTTTGAAAATCGTTTATTTTTTTCTTCATGTCTTTTGATGCATCATTTTAGAACCTAAAAAATAATATTAGTTACCTGAGAATTTGAACATATAGAATATTGATAAGGCTTCCAATTTTATTAGTTCCAATTATTCATCAATCCATGAACACAACATA